TTCAAATCCTTTCTAGGATTTTCTCTTTGGTTTCTTGACAGCAGCTGGCATGTCTACATTTGCTTTACATTTGCATTTTCTATATTTCTACATTTGTATCAAGTATTAGATACACTTCTTTACATATTTGTAATTCACCGAAATAAGATTAGTATGTCATCAGATATGAATGACTTTTCTGAATTTTCTGCAATACATAGAACAAAAATTTGGATCAGTTTTATATTTGAAAGCTGAAATATTTAAATGGCCTAAGAGTAGCCTGGATTATACAACATACTGCATTTTTCCCAAAAGGTTTTCAGCCACTCATTTGGACACCAGCTTGGAAATGTCAGGCATGTCGGGATGGCTGAATATCACTGCAGGCTGAGTACACCAGCATCAGCCTTTTAAATCCATTAATTTTATGTACATAGCAGCAGGAACTTTCCTTGAAATTTTCTTAAAGTTTTTAGTGCAAAGGTTCAAAAAACCTGTGCTGAATATTTATTGCCTTTGTATGCTGTCACCTAATTGTGACTTTGTTTCTTTTGAATATGAAATATACCATGAAAATTTTAGCTAACACCTGAAAAGTTGTCACAGAAAGGGTTGGGACATGTAAGAAGTGGTGGGCTAGGTGTGAAATTCTTGCCCAGGTCTTTCATGTTCTGTAATTTAAGGTCAGCTTTACTATGACAAGGAGCAGATGAAGGACCTGTAGTAAATACTGACACACCCATGAAAAGGGACATGGACATAGGTACTACTGAGTGATAGAACAGAGTTATATCCCAACATACTTTCTCCTGTAACTTAACTACCTATCATCTGAAGTTCTCATAGGATTCAGGAAACAATCAGCGTGATTTAGAAAGGACACGTGGAAATTAAGAAGTCTGTAGTGGAAGAGTGGATGTAGGGGAAACGATGTTACTAGATAATCCTGTATAGATGCTTAGGGACCCCCTTCCCACCTACCCCCTCTTCCTCCTGTCTTCCTAAGGCAGAAATGAGCTAACATTTCTTGTATGTCTGGCACTTAAGTATCTCTCATGTTTTTACAACAACCTCCTAAAGCAAATAGAATTCACACAGATGAGTGGTGGCAGTAGAACTGAATCCAAGCTCTCTGTGACAAAATCCCAGGATCCCCAGTTGGAGAAACTGGTTCCAGATCCGACTCTACTGCACGAGCGCACTTCTGTGAATTTAGGCAAGGTGCCTTACCTCTCCGAGCCACGGTTTTATGGGTAAGGTGGGAATAGTAGTATCTACAGATGCATCTGCTGGGATGGTGACTTAAAGGAAAGATATTCAAAGCACTTAGCGCAGGGCCTTGCCAAGCGCTGTCTCTCCTTGGACAGTCACTGTCATAACTATTACTGTTACTGCTTTTGAAATCAGGATGCCAGGCTTTCAAAACACAAGGTATGGTTTCATTCCGTTGTCCTGTATGTGCTAAAAGTCCTACTGTGATCAGGTCACTATTACTAAGCTTTTTAGTTCCTCATGAAATACTAATCTGGAGGCAGGCAAAAATAATGTGAAAGTGAGCAACCACACAGACTTAAAGATAAGACTTTATTATTTAAACCGCTACCTAGCTTATTGGCCGAATTAGACACAGATTGCCCTAGACACCTTCTTTCCGCCTCTCAGACCAAACACGGTCAGACTCATGTGTGTTCTCACACAACCTGGACACGCTGCTGGCGGAGGCAAGGCGCCCTAGCCTTGCCAGCACAGATCCCTGTGGTCGTGCTCGAAGGAGCCTCTCCTTACACTTGGGCTGCAGCACACCGCAATCGAAAACCAGCACGTGGGTATCTCTTTGGCTTTTTTCCTCTGATAATAAGTATCCTCTCGCATGGGATCTAATTTTCTCCAGCAGAGAGACGTCACTATAACTGTAGAGACAGGCATCAAGCGGTGCTATGAATCACGAGGAGCTATCAGGTTGGTCTTTAAATATGTCCTGTTTCTACTTTATTTAAAGATAGAAATTGGATACAATTCACAAATCTTTTGAAATCGTATATAAAGCATTGCTCCACATGTTCTGCCTCATCCAGACACAACCTCTGAAAGCACGGAAAAGTGCATTCTGATGCTAGCCAAACAGGGGAGAGAGGTATGCGTGGAGATAATTCTTGCCTGTAAAAAGGGGAGTTGAGTTTTCAAATAAAAGATGTAAAATTGGCCCTTGTCATGGTGTGATACTGCCACCAGCTCTTTTGGCAAGTTTGAAAATACTGAGCTCCATTATAAAAGCTAAAAATGTCCTGGACCTGGAGTTGTTTACCCAGAGAAGGAGCTGCTCTAGAGTTACAGAGCTCTGGTTGGGAGAGGTGGCTTGAAGGCCGCCTCCGAGTAACTGACGTCACACTGGTCTGGGCTGCTGCTGTGACTCTGAGCTGAGCAGCTTTCTGATTTGTGAAAGTGGTGAAGGTTTCAAAGGGACTTGTCAGTACTGATCTGTTGAATGGTTGGACTTATATTGCGTTTCCATTTCTTGCAAAGAAGCAAGCTTCACCAAGTTGAGACTTTTCTCTTTAAAACAACTAGCAGTTCTTCCATTGCTAGGTTGGCCAGTGATTGAACATCCATAGGATTCCTCCCCAGAGCAAGAAGGTATGTGTCTTTCTGGCAGTTTGAAAGCAAGTGACTAATTTTGGCAAAATGTAAAAGGGCTGCTGCCGAGATGTTGGAAACTATAGATACTGTTTCCGTGAAGGCTGATTTCAACATCTGCCTGTGTCGGTGTCTGTGTCTGGTCTTAGCAGTGGGGCGGGATTCGTCACGGATTGTACCGACTCCCAGGGAACAGAGGGTTCAGCTGCTGTGAGTGGATTTCTCAACTCTGGACTGACAGTGCCATCCGCTCCCTGACTCTGTTTTCAAGCACTGCCTCCCAGTTGTTCAGACAACGTTTTGCCTACCATGGCATTTCACTAAATATATTTATTACAATGCTTTTTTGATTAGGATGAAGAACTTTTAGCATTTGTTAAGTGAAGCTCACAACCCTTAAGGTTGCTGGTATTTGAAAATTGCAATGAAAAATAATAAATGAATGTTGTTGCATCCAAGATGATGGTTTTCTCACTGTATGATAAGTGTTTCTGTAGTTTGAGTTAAAGGGTGTGCCATTCATTGTGGGTTAATCTGTGGTTAGGGAGGAACCTTGACCACCACATCTTCTGTTAAAGCTGGTTAGGTTTAGTTTTCTTTTTTTTTTTACACAAGCCAAAAGTTTCAAAGTTGTATTTTATAAGAGGTGTAAAATCAATAGACATATGTTGGATATTTTGTAGTTTGAATATACAACTGGAGGGAAAACAAGGAAGGAGAAAAGATAATAAATGAGAAGGCAAAATTGATTTCTTCAGAATTGCATGTGGTAGGATCTCTTTGACCTTATTCGAACATAAGACACATGCTGAAATGACAAGAAATAGCAATAGAAACCATTTCCTTTCGCCCTGTAATGAAATCAAATGGTGGTTGGCTGTGGAAAGATGCTTTTGCCAGTGAACAATAGGGGAGGAATAAGGTCTGTTAATTAGTTGAAATAATACAAGTGATTTATAATAGCCTGGGGAAGGGCTAGGGAACTTCAAGGCAAAAGGTGCCTTACTCTGATGGGTATTGTCATGGGAACGTGGGAACGCCTAATCCCTCAAAATTCAGAGGAAGCAAAGCACCTCCCAGGCAAACGACTCTTCTAGGAACTGTGAGATTGACAAGTACCTACTGCGTGTGGCATTGCTGTGGGAATATGTAAACTTCTTAAATGAAAACTCTTCAACTGTATGGAAGAGTAATATGTTTAGAAAGAGGAAATAAGAAAGCAAGAAACAAATACTCTGAAAGAAACTCAGAATAGAAGAGCAAAGGTGTCCACTTCCCTGACACTGTTTTTTGTTGTTTGTTTGTTTGGCTAAAGTGCAGTTTTCACTGGGGAAGACTGAAATGGTGATGACCAGGAGTAGTAAGAATGGAGCACCCCTCAAAGAAGTGTTACCGTGACCTATAGAGACTGATGGGGAAAATGAAAATGAGTTATTGTGAGACTCCTGTGTTACACTTCAAATTTCCTGACAGAGTTGGGTCGGAAGGCCAACAGAACCGTTTCCCTCCCATCGCCATCCTTATGCAGCCTGCCCACAACCCCACAGTTCTGGCTTCCAGCCTCGGGGAGGGGGCCGCAGCTTAAAGGGATTATGTAATGCTACCTGAGAGTTGTTGGAGGAACAGCTCATGCAGGACTAAGGAGTGCAGCTCACTCTATCCTTACATTTGCTCTGATAGACTTTTATTCTGAATGAAATTCTGAAAGGAATGAAATTAAGTGGAGAATCAAAGAGGCATGGGAGGGGGTGCACATAGCAGAAATCCTTTCTGCCCTCCCACGTAGATGCCAGTATCTGTGGGAGGAAGGACTGACAGCCAGGGACAAAGAGAACTTTCACGTGGGCCTCAGTGGAGAACACTGAAACTGAGTTTCTGAAGCTGGCCGACGAAGTTACCCTGTAACTTCTCGTTGGAGAACATTATGTCCCTACGAAGTTGCCTCGGTAGTTGGAGTTTCTAAAATTATATATTTAAGGGGAATTATAACAAAAGCAGTTTTATATGAGTGATTTATTCAAAAATTCACTAATAAAAAACTTTCCTAAGTATTTTACTTTCAGTGTATCCTTGAAACACTTGAAAACTACTGAGTGCAAAGGAAAAGCATTGAAAATATGAAAGTTCACACATTAGACTTGTTTCTATCAATTTTCTAATTAAAGATCAAAAGCATTAATTTCATTTTAGAAAAAATAGGGAAGGGTGGGTGAAGGGAAGGAAAGGCAAGGGAGGGAAGACAAGAAAAAAGACAGAGGGAGAAAGGGACAGAAGGAAGAACCAAGGAACGGGCATTTATGAAACACCGCTATGACCCAGAATGCTTTTAGGCACTTTTATTAAGCATCCTCTCCTTTGCTCACTTAATCCTCACAGCAACTCTATGCCCCCCACTTTATTTTTTTGGAGGAGAAAGCAATATATTCAGCTGTATTACCCTTGACATTTATGACAAGACAGAGATGCTAAGAGGGTGAAATAAATCCTCTCCCCCAAATTGGCACAGATTTTGCTTTGTAGGCATTTTCTTTCAAAGGCTTGTTTCTGATCCATAACTATGACATTTGCTGGCACTAGGAATTGCTCTGGCCTTGAAAAGGGGAAGCTCTGTAGGTTGGCCTTTCTCCATATTAAGTGATAAGTTTGGCTCTTTGCAATTAAGTGCAAGATTCTGTCTGCTTTGGGAACATGTATCCAGAGGCATGTATCTTCATGTATCTTCCTGTTACCAGGAACAAACCTGATTGAGAGTTTGCTTGGATGACCTTCAGTTACCTGAAAAAGAAAAGGGGGTGCCACCTTTTAACCTGGTCTGGAAGTGAGTTAAGGAGAGTTAGGAATATAAGGAAAAATTGGAGCCACTTGCTACATAATTGTAAGAGAAACTTTATGATGATTTCTGAACATTTCCAGTGTTTAAAGACCATTACGATGAAATAGAGACTATCATAACACCTCTTTCCCAGGTAGTTTGAAATTAGCCTATTCCCTTTCTGTAAGTTCTTTAGTGAAATCTGCAACCATCTCATGATGTCTTAAACCACTCCACTGTTCCTAAGAAGTTCCAGTGTTAACCACATGCTAGTGAGAGAAAGAGTTTCAGCTCTCAGGTAATTACATGTAGCTTTAAGCAGTCTGCTAGTCTCTGAAAATAATCACTGTCTGCACATCCTGTGAATAGTTATTAAATGAACCTAAAAGATTACTACATACTCAAGATCAGTGACAAATTCACCAAAACAAAAAACAAAATTCTGTATATTCTTTACTATCTTCCTTTTGTTGGGTCTTCATGGATGCATTTCTTTGGGGCCAGCTGGCATTTGCTATGGCAGGTACTTACGGTCATTTTCTCATAGGTGCACAGGGTCAAAAAATAAAGGATGATGGAGGGCGCAAAGTGCGATGAGAAAAGAACATGGCCGAGTCAGTAAAATGAGACATGACAACATCTTTAATGGTTTAATTGGAAATTTCTTGACTTAATTAGTCATAGGATTGTGAGTGCCAACGAAATAGATAAAAATGAACCAAGTATCTACAGCAAATTGCTTGAGAAAAGAGATACAGTACAGACCCCAATATTTCTAGGGTATTTTTGATGGTGGAGCCCCGCAAGTAGGACTAACATTTTTGTCCTTATTTGTCTGTTACGATTCATTGCTAGATTGTAGCACAGAAAATATATGTTTGGAACGTTTTGCCACTCGGATATGCTTGTTCAGAACAGTCTGACAAAAGTTTAAACTAGTCTTGAATGTTTATCTTGTGTTTGGGCCACAATGTGCGGCCGTCTTCTGTTGCCCAGAGTGGGGCGTGCTGCCTGGCTCTGTCCGCTTCATTCCGCAATTCCAGCACCTTGGCAGCTAGTAACTCCAGGGAACTTTGCTCATAATGAGCATAAACTGCCACCTGCTAAGTTAAGACATTTTGGTCATGGCCTAGAAACCCAAAGAGTTAGATTTCTTATAAGCATGTTTATCTTAGATAGAGATCCAAACATTTTAAACACACTTTTCTACCCATTGAAAGAGTGTGTGATTTTATTAATAAAAATTATTTCTAGTGGAAGTGGGAACAAGATTTTTAAAGCAAAATAAAAAAAAATTAAAATTTCTCAAACTGTTTTTCATTTCATATGTCATTTCATCTTTGGGACAGCACTGTAATTGGCCCTCTTTTAATGTACATAAACTAAATCTCAGAAATTTTGGATGATTTAGAGTTACTAATCCGGCATTTTAAATTGCATCTTTGAACCCTAAATACACATATCCTAAGTGTTAGAAATCTAATCACTTTAGGTACAGCTTACTGGACCCAAAGACGAAATTACTGAGCACAGTGTTTTCTTTAATTCTCTGTATTCAGGATCCTCAGTTGGTTCTGGTACGTAATCTATTAGAGGGAAACGAGACCAGGGGTGCATTTTAACATTTGGCTCCTAGGATAGTTTTGCTGCTTTTACATTTTCCTTGCTGAAGTAAAATAATGAAAATACAGTTTTGTGATCGAGTTTGATTTCTTGCTAATATACCAGTCTCAGATTGACTACCAACTTTGGGAACTCACTAATACAGTAATCACATTTCACATACACTGGAACTCTGAATATAAAATTGAGACTGTAGTCAAGCACTGGCTCAGGACTTTAAGTCACAGAGTCACACAATCTGGTTGCATAATCAGAACAGAGGGAGTGATTCTGTTGCAGCATAACCCACCATGGTTGTGCAGATGTGACATGTGAACTTCAGATTTCCAGACTTAGATAGTCATGAAAAATTCTATGCTTATATTAGGTGGCTGCTTAAAGGAATACTTATGTCTCACATGCACATTAAACCATCTTGTCCTTTTTAATTTTACTGTCCAATCTTAGAAGGGGAGAAAACCTTTTGACAGTACTTTTTTTTTTGCTGTATTTGTTTCTTCTTAAGTAAATTGTCATCTCTTCTTTTCTTTGGAGTCCAATTTTCCTACAGTTTGTTTATGTTGATGGCTTTTGACAAAACGATTAATTGTTTCCAGAAAGCATATGGATTTTGAACTCTGTCTTGTTATGTTTATATTAGGCTTTATTTTAAAGGCAAGTGAGAGTGCTTCAAATAAAACAACTCCAAAATTCCAAGAAACAACAGAAAGAAGGCAGAGACGAGCAGAAACACCCCTTCACTAACACTCACGCGGTTGCCATGGACCTGCACAAGCAGTGGGGGAACCCAGAGACTGACTGGCACAAGGAGAAGATGGAGTTACTGGACCAGTTTGACAATGAAAGGCGGGAATGGGAAACCCAATGGAAGATCATGCAGAAGAAGATAGAGGAGGTACACATTGATTTGTTTTGAATACACTGGAAACTTAAAGCTCATAATGGAAGTGAAAATGCTGTTGAAGTTTGTCTTGCATTGTAAATTATTTTTATTTTCCTTATTTCATTTAAGAGATGCGTGTCTTGGTGACATTTACCACACCAAAAATAGTGTAACCTTACCCAGTGGTATCACACAGACTAGGCATATTTTGTAGCCTTACATGAAAATTAAGAACTTCAAAGGTCACTCTAAAGCATATCAGTTTATTATTTGCTGACTAGAGTGCCTTGGAGTAAAAAATGAAGTATGCATTTTTTCATGAGTTTTCCAATACTGTGTCCAGGAGGAAAATGTAAGAAAGACATAATTGGTGAAACAAATTAGCAAAACTACAATTGAGCATTAAAATGCAGATCTTCTCTGTGATGACTTGTGAATAATGTGTGCAAAGGAAATTACATGTTAGATAATACAGTAAACTCAAAAGGAGTGTCGAATCTCATACAGAAAATGGCAGTGGACCTGATATTTATCCTGGTTGGCTGCGCCACATATGCTGGCACACGTATTAGAAAAGAGGTAACCAGAACTGGCATGCCATGACTCTGATACAAATAGTCATTTCATCCCCATTAACCTTCCCTTCGCCTGTTGAGTCTATAATATTCCTTTAAGCATTTACATTGATGTACATTCAGGCCTGTTCCAGCTGAAAACTGTTTATGCTTGTCTTGCTTTGTTCTGGAAACATCGATGGTATTGACTTACATGGTTTTGTGCACATTGCCAAAGTGATTGTTTTAACAGGTTCCTTGGCCTTTATTCAGAGGCAATCAAAGCGGGTGCTTTATGTGTTTATAGTGCAAATATTTTTTTCTTATTGACAGACATGTAATTGGTAGTGAATAAAATACAAATTGGCATGCACCAAGAAAAAATTAGAAAGAGTAGCTATTAAACCCTTCCTCTAAAATAGAGATGAGGAGGCAGGCGTGCAGTGTACGATTAGAGATTGAAAGGAGGATCCACTGCTCATCCCCGTGTTGTTTGAAACAGGTGTTCTGCCCTCTCTCTGAATTCCTCCACCCAGAGACTCGGGTTGGATCTGCCAGAAGACAATCTGGGTCAAATCAGAATCCACAGCTCCAGTCAGAAACCCAAACACTTGAGTCCATGGCTCCCAAGGGAGCCACTCGTCCAGTTAGGAAGAGTCACAGATAACTGGAGCATCCAAGCAAAATAATTGAGTCATGATTAGTCTAGCCAATGGTTAAGCCATGTTGCAAAAAACAATCTGCTGTCTGGTTAAATTTTGTATTGTAAAATATGTAATTCTCACAGCTCTGTAGATTTCATCTGAAGTAAATATTAGCCTTACCAACTAGGCATTAAATATACTTAACTTTTTGTAGATTATATTATTACAGTTGTCCCAATTTTCCCCCTTTGCCCCATCCACCCAGCACCCCCCCCCACTCCCTCTGGCAATCCCTCCTCTTTTATTCATGTCCATGGGTCATGCATATAAGTTCTTCAGCTACTCTATTTCTTGTACATGTGCTTAACATCCCACTGCCTATTGTGTAACTACCATTTCGCACTTAATCTCTTCACCTTTTCCCCTATTCCCTCAGAACCTTCCCCCCAACTGTCCACCCTCCCACTGTCCTCCATATCTATGATTCTGTTTCTGTTCTGCTTGTTTGCTTAGTTTGGGTATTAAACATACTTTAAACTTAGGCTGATAATCTCTAAAAACACTGTCCTTTTCTGTTTCGAGGGGAGAAAAGGGCTGTAATGTTTTTCTTCACCTTGCTGCTTGCAGTATATAGCTCCACAGCCAGGGAAATGTTTAGAAAATGGGCTTACCCAGAATATTCACAGTGGATGCTCTTCAGTCCCTGAATGCTAGTGCTGTGCTTCCCTTATCATACAAATACATATTTCTTTTAGAGTTCCAGCTTTGTAACCTGTAAGAACGTACATTTTACATATCACTTCTTACAGGCCATAAAGCTGGGAGTAGAAAAGATTGAGGAAAAGAGAAAGAAAGTATCCTCATGTGTCACAGAAAATCAATATGATTTGTTTTAAACTAAACTTAAAAGTCAATCAATACTTGGAGAAATTATAACATACCATGAGAGAAATAGGCTGTTTACATTTATCACTAAGTTCTGTGTATTAAGTCAGATGCAAATTATTAAGCCATCTATTAGGGAATTACATATTTTTAGGAGCACACATATAACTTGAGTGATTCCAAATAATAATATTTTCCAATGAGAGGTTCCAGCATTGAATACTAAGATGCTGATGATTCTCTATTCAGCCACTATCCATGATCATTATATTTGCTGTTGTAAAACCAAGGTGTACATTCTTGTATCATTTTAAACTTGGTATATTCCAGATTGAAACCCTGTAGAGAATACATAGATGCCTGGATTTTTTTTTACCACATTGCAATCTTTTCTGTTTATCTCCTTTGGTCAAATGATTAGATGACCATTGTCAAGGGCTGAGTACCAGATTGCCTTATACACAATAAACTGTTTTCCACCAGTAACATTATGTTATTTTTGTATTCACACCTCACCTGAATTCCCAAGAGAACTTACAATGGCATATACAAGACAAAAAGAAAGGTGAGATAAAGACAAGAGGAAGAATCATATATAAAATGTATGTAGCAAGTCTGTCTTTCTAGTAACTAACACAAATATTATCAGATGCATATTTCTCAATATTCAGAAAACAAAAGCAAACTTGTTTTCCAGAAATGGCACTTCTGTCCCTACTTTGGAAACTAAAGCAATTTTGTTTTTACCCATGACTCCTCAAAAGAGGACATGAACAACAGCATCCTTAGATTTAACATGATACTTTTGAGGGTTGCTTCTTATGATATCCTCATGGTCAGCAAAAATCATAATGCCCACAGCAGTTCAGTAGAAATAATTTTACCAGGGCCATGGCTGCAATTTGGTGCTGTCCTGACTTCATCCAATGACAGATTCGTAACAGTCTAGGGAAACAAATGCACTGCTTAGCTTTCAGACATCACCTATATATAGTGCTTCTCTCCTCCGAGAATCAGGTAAATATTGAGCAGCAATAAATCTGTTATTCCTTAAATAATAGATGTAGTACGAATATAGGTTGTGGCTGAAAATGTAGTCATTTGCTTGAATAGTTATTTGATAGTCTCCTTTGAAGTTTGACAAGCTTTCCCAGAACTCAAGCCAGAAGAGAAAGCCACTTACTCCCTGCTGTCTAGAGGTGAGCTGAGTGAGTGCCTGCAGGCTAAACTAAATTCTCATCAAGAAAAAATTTGGGGTCCACTTGAACATAGACTAGTAGATGGTCAGAGCCTTGAAGTTCTGTTATATAGACATATATTTATATATGTGTTATATATTTATATAGACATACATATATTTACATAGGACAGGGTCACATTTGTCTTAATCAGGACAAAAACCTTTTTTTTTTAATGTGTATAGCCTGGCATTAGAAAATCTCAATATTAACCAGCCCTCGCCAATGTAATTTCCAACAGAAACATCTTTTGATTTCTAAATGTCTACTTAGGGGACAGAATAAACTGACTATATGAGATTGTCAACTATTTTGACAGTAAATATTGGCATGCAGGTGGGATCATGTATTTAAAAATATGACTTGAATGTTAGTTAAATGGTTGCTTCTCTCTGAAAGCAGTGAGAGAGTATGGCCAGTAATTGATTCAGGTCATTCTAATTTAATGACAGTGCTTCTGTATCTTAGTGATATCTGTATGTAGATACAGGTTTATTTTACTTTTGACTGAGCTGATTTCTGCTCAGAAAGACTGAAATCGTCATCCATGCTTTGACCTATAAAAAGTAGTCTTTATGGTTTATCAAAGTTGTTCTGGCTAATCCAGATTTTAGAAGTACTATTTAGAGGCATAAGCATGAATAATATCCCAGTGTAGTATATAGTCATATGGCAAAAAGGACTGAAAACAGCGTACTTAGCTTCAAAAATATTGACAACGTGAATTAAGGGGATAAAAATTCTTATCTTTGTTTTCCTTACAGCTTTGCCATGAAGTAAAGCTTCGGAGGAAAATTAACATGAGTGAACGTGCTAAAGTCATTGATCTTGATCGTGAGAAGACCATTCAAGATAAAGTGGTAGAATCTTCTCGAACTTACCCCAGTAGAGGACCACAAGAATTTACAGGGATGAATCACAGGAATGACCTGGAAAAAGAAAATAAAACAGAGAAGAGCTTAATCAGTGAAGGAAATCAAATGTGTAAGGAACAAAAAGCAACTAAAAAATCAAAGGTAGCGTTTATGGATCCTTTGGCCACAGACGACCAAAAGGAAGGTGAGGCCTGGCTTGACCCGAGGACTTCTGAGGGAGCGGGCCAGGGCTGTTCTGGCGCCCTCAACACAGTAAGTAAGCCGTGACTGGCCTAGAACTGTTTCCAAAACTTATTTACATTCGCAAGTCCTAACACATTATTGCTTTTATATATGTATATAAAGGCTCTTGAAGAACTTGCCAAAGTCAGTGAAGAATTATGCAGCTTTCAAGAGGAAATTCGAAAGTGCTCTAACCACAGAAGGTAGGCTGGTCCTTCTATGATTATTTTATGTTGGAAAAATCTAGAAGAATACTGTGTGTAGTTAGTGAATTCCTTATACTTTGTTAGTGATAATTAACAATGAGTTATTAAAATTTGTTTTCAGATAAGAGATAAAATCTTTAATTGACTGTTTTCCTGTTCGCTGATTCTTAAAACAATTCTTAAAATAATTCTTATTTTGAGCGTACCTTCTGGTACATTCAAACTGGAGCATCATTTGCTACGTGTATCTTTTTAACCAGCCAGTTTCTTTTTAAATCCCAAATGTATCTGACCAAACAAATTTTATTTGTTTTCTCCTAATTCTCTTTGTAATTTGACTGTTAGGAATACTTTACTTTTTTGGTGCTTATTTAAGGTATACCATTTGTAATAAGTTAACAAATACATTCTAATGAAGTTTTTTTCTATTTTGAGTATTTAGAGAGTAGAAGAGTATACAACTGAGCTAATCCAGTAAAATCTTTAAATGATGTCAGATTTAACAATGTGGTATTTTAATTACATAATGATGTTTTACTGGAATGTTTTACACCTAAGGGTCATTTATTTCTGTATATCTATCATGTGTATAATAGAAACATACATAATTTTCAGAACAACATATTAGAAATGTATATGCACATCTATACAATGCTGTGAAATACTGTTTCAACTCAGAGACACCTATATAATTGTGAAAGTAAGTTTGAGTCAAATTAAAAAATAAACTGGAATTTTCTGCAAGTTAACTAAAGATGAATTATCGTATGACCAACACGTATCTGTCAGTGAGGCAGGACGCTCCTCTTAGAAAGCTGTATCAGTGAGTACCCTTATTTTTTTTTTAGCTCGTAGGAAGCTCAGAGAGAATTTTTTACTGACTTTAAGTATATTTTCTTATCCACTCATGTTTTTTTCCATAATTTTGTCCTCTATGTGCCCATTTAGCTTTTGTTTACTTCTTCTTTGTTAATGAGTATTTACCTGTACTTTATGGTGAGCTAGCACATAATGTAAGTTGAAGAGATATCAATAGGACTTACATTTATCAATATAATTAACTTTAATTTGAGAATCCTTATTGTTGCTATATTTCGGTTTTTATTTTTATTGAGTTCAAGAGAAGTATAAGGTTTTCCTCGTTACTTGAAGTAACCTTGTTATTTCATGGTTTTTAGGAAGAAATTCAAAATTCTTAATATATAATTCAAAGGTATTACAATGATCTGATGTTTCTCACTTATTTTCCATCGTCTTCTCCACTCTGCCTTATAATCCATGCCCACAAAAGTGCTTGCTGTTCCTTGCATTAGCAACACTGATTTTACTACAGTTCACTTTGCCTATCTGCCCTTTACTCATCAAAAAAATCCTTACTTTTCTTTCAAATGATACCTTCTATTTGGTATTACTCATGTCTTGTTGCACTTTTATTCAGATTCTGTTACATTAGTTAGAATGTTACTTCAAATTCAAGGGGAAAAACTTAATCTCACATGACAAAACCAATAGGAATTCAGTAGGCAGAGCAAAGGTAAGGAAACGATTAGACAGTCTTGTAGAAGGGGGAATGCTAATAACAGATGCACAAGATACTATACATGATCTAGTCTGAATATAAGTGAAGTTTTAGGTAATAGAAAAAAATGAGAGCCGAGGTTGGAGAAGTGGTTTGGACCAGAGTATATAGATCCTAGAGTGCAGCACTGAGGGGTAGTCCAACAGTAAAAAAGACTGGGAGGTTTTGATGAGAGGACTTATATAGAAAATATGCTGTGGAAAGTTGTGACTCCTTTTCCTATAGCAAAGATCCATTGCTTAAGCCATGTTTTTTTGAATTACTTATCCTAAATAAAGTTATTGCCAATATATTATGTTTTATCATTGTTTAGGATGAAGTCAGATTCTTTTCTCCAGGAAATGCCAAATGCAATTAGGGCACAGGAAATGTGGCCTCATGGAGACCACAGGATCAACAATGGCCAGTGCATTCTTCCAACAAATTTAGAGAGAGAAAAGCAAAAAAACAGAAGGAATCTGAGCTATGCTGATATGCTTCAAAGGAATTCTTTGAAAAAATGTGGAATTGATACAATTGATCTGCAAAATAATGAAACTCCACCAGTGCCTCCTCCAAGAAGCACATCGAGGAATTTTCCCAGCTCATACCATGAACGAGCCCTTGAAAGTCTGCAGGAAAGTTTAAATCTCAACAGCCAGGTGGTCCAAGAGGGTCCAGGTGAAAGGAACTGCAGTCCTCACGTCCTTCTGGGGCATGATGAGATGCCTACGCTGTGTCTGAATGAAGGGAAAACTTTGAAAAATGGTACCATGTTTTCTTCTTTGGCACCAGAAGCCGAAATAGAAAACAAGCATCCACGTAAAGAAAATGTTGGATTAAGCATGAGGGAATGCAATGCTGTGATAGGCACAAAAAATAGCCCCTCTACCCTGTGGTTTCAGAAAACCTGCTCTATTCCTGATAAGTTGAAATATGAAAAGATGGTCCCAGCTCACCCTGCTAAATCTCATTCTGACCTTCATGGAAGCAATGACTATAGCTCCTCGGGGACACAGAGCAGTGGCCCACTTAGAAGTTTCAGTTATGGCTTTGAAAGGACTACTAGGAATGAAAAGCTGGCAGCAAAGACTGATGAATTTAACAGAACTGTATTTAGAACAGATAGAAATTGTCGTGCAATACAGCAAAATCAAAGCTACTCAGAATCATCTCAAGATCTTAAGCCTTATGATACCTTAATTACTCGTATAGACAATGTACCAGAAAATGACAGTGTGTCTGATACTCTGCAAACCAGTACCCACATGCCTGTGCCTAGAGAAAATGTGCCTGATAATCCCACCGGTAAATCCACAACAGGCCTAGTGAGGCAAATTCAGGAACACCTAAGTCCTAGCAGTTATCGGAATATGCTCCACGAGCATGACTGGAGACCCAGTAATTTGTCTGGCCGACCAAGATCAGCAGATCCTAGGTCAAATTACGGTGTTGTGGAAAAGCTGCTGAAAACCTATGAGACATCTACAGGGTCTGCACCGCAAAATTCTACATGCTTCAAGGATGACTGGCCCCAATGTAATTCTGATGTCAGTGTTGGGGCCACACTGGATCGCCATTTAAGGATAATCCAAACAGAACAAGAGCTTCGAGGAAAAACAGCTATGTGTGGGGCACAGCAAGCGAAGCAAGGAATAGATTGGAAAAAGGTAACAGAGGTGAGAAAGCAGTTAATATATTTTGGAAGGACTTCATTCATGTTTAGCCATAGCTCAGAGTTCAGCCCCTTGCATTCATATAAATAGAAGGCTCATGTTTTGATGTCTTAACTTTCTGATCCTTCACTTTGTGAATAACTATAAACCTTAGGATTGTAACTGTACATGAACTTGTTAAAGTGGAGTGTTAAGCCTGCGGTTAGCACATTATCACCTTCTTTTAAAATTCTGAAATAGGGTAACATAAATATAGTGCATGTGCTTATGAACCTCGAGAAGATGAAATGCAAGTTACTTGAAAAAGTATTCTGAATATGCATTTGTTGATTTATAGAATTTAATTCTTTTAGAGTATTTTTAAGTATGTGGGAAACATTTAAAAAATAATTTGTACTTTTTAGTTATTAACTATGAATAGTTCAATCATTCTCAGTATTTGATTCATGCCTTTTCTCATGGGTTTACTCACATATGTACAAATATGGGTAAAATACATTGTTTAAAATAGTGCCTTATAAAGCTCTTACTTGTGGAGCCAACAGGCAGGACATTGAAATAAAAAAGTGGTATTATAGCTTAAACAATTTTAAGGTCATTCTTATTTGTATAAATTCTTAGCATGAAAATGCAAAAAAATTGGTACTTGAAACGGGGTTATCCTTTTTCTGTTCCGGACAGTTTTCAAGAGTGTAATCTTGACTAGTTGCAGGCAGAAAAGAGGTGGAGGAGGTTGGCGTTCACAATGAGAAGCTGTCCAACAGTACCCCATTATGCATAATTCACTGACGCTTACAAGGTTACATAGTGTTAAAATTAGCTAATGCTTCAAACATCCTTGTTTTTACAGGATACAACTATGTATGCAGTGTAGTTTTAAGCTATGTAGGTTACTGCCTTCTTATTTGAAAAGATATTGTGTGGCTTTCAAACCCTACATACATATCAGTCTCATCTATTTTATCAGAAACCTTGTGCAAGTGTGCACAAGGCACAAATAACTACTTTGCCTTTGTATCTTTCTTTCTTTATTTACTTTTTTATGTTTTTCAATTAGTTTACATTCAATATTATTTTTATTACTTTCCAATGTACAGCATAGTAGGTGGACAATCATATACTTTACAAAGTGACCCCCCTGACATTTCTAGCACCCACCTGGTGCCATACATTGTTATTACAGTGTTAATGACTTTATTTCCTATGCTGTATTTTACATACCCATGACTATTTTGTAACTACTAATATGTGCTTCTCTATCCCTTTGCCTTTTCACCCAGTTTCTCAAACCCTCCTCTACTCTGGCAACCGTCACTCTGTTCTCTGCATCTATGAGTCTGTTCTGTGTTTTCTTTATTCATTTATATTGTTCTTTAGATTCCACATAATGAGTGAAATCATGTGGTATTTGTCTTTCTCTGACTTATTTCACTTAGGGTACTCTAGGTCCATCCCTGCTGTTGCAAATGGTAAGATTTCATTTTTTTTATGGTCAAGGAATGTTCCACTGTATATATGTACCACAGCTTTCTTATCCACTCATCTATGAGGAGCACGTGGGTTGCTTCCATAGCTTGGTTATTGTAAATAATGGTGCAGTGAACTTGAGGGTGCATATATGTATCTTTTGTTTTCAGTTGAGCCCATAAATACCCATAAGGTCCTATAACTTCAGGTGGGAAATAAAAAACATGTATACAATAACCAGCCAAATTCTCATTAACTAAATAGTCTTCGTTTTGGCGTAGATTGGAGGTTTGGGAGGAGTCCTCTGCTATGGATCCTTAAAAGTAGTTCTTCATTCCCCTTCCCTCTAGCAAAATAAGATTCCAAAGAAAGAAAAAGAACCTGAAGGATACTGTCATAGAAATTGAGGCCATCCTTACTGCCTATCTCAGATAAAAGAGCAAAGGCTTTGTTTAAAAGGTCAGTAACAACCAAAGGTATAAAATGGGTTACATACACTTTTTAATTGCAAGGTTCTAAAAATTATTATCTTCCTTTAAAATAAAAAGAAAAGAAGGAAGAAATGAAAGAAAGGGAAAGGAAGGGAAGGAAAAAAGTGCAATCATTAAATGAATGATGTCCTACATTGATAGTAACTATTAGCAATTTCAAAGTTTTTGAGAGCTTGTAACACTACTTCTTTAGTAGGGGAAAAAAGTTTCAAACTAATCATTTGATGGTGTGTGTGCTTTTTGCTTATGACCTTTTAAAGTGTCAATAAGTTGAGAAAAAAGGAAGTTTTTCTATAAATTATCTTTTGGTTTTTAAATAATACTTAAAACATTGTAAAATATCACCAAGAAACACTTGCAGTTCCATCATATCAAAGTTATCCATAACATGAACTACTGAATAATAAACTTAAAATTAGTTCTAAAAAGAGACCAGTTGTGTTAAAATTTGTCAGTGTGAAAAGATTATTAAATGTCATATTACATATTAAAATTTCTTTGTTTAAAACATTCAAGACCACAAATATTAGATGATATTTTTAGTTTGCGATGCTCTTTCCTGTTCATAAATATGCTAATACACTAAGACCATTGTTGAGATTCATAAAATATTAAGCCCATTTTTGGTGCTGGTGTAATTAGAGGAACATCTTCTTTTGTCTTAGGAATCCACGGCAGTGAAATCTTCACATGGAAAAGGATTTTCCCGACCCGCTAGACCAGCGAATCGCCGTCTCCCATCCCGATGGGCATCGAGATCTCCATCGGCGCCTCCAGCCTTGCGGAGCACTGCCCACTGCTCTACTATTTCTCTGCGATCTGAGGCATCACTGGTCTGAGTCTCTGGCCTGGATTGCTAGATTTCAAAAATCCCAACTGTCAAACAGAGCATTCTGAGTGTTTACAGGCTATCCTGTCTCTTCTGTGTCTTTCAAGATCAGTGGGACAAGCAATTGAAATCTTAACTTCCCATCAGTCTTCAGTGTTTTTAACTTATGGAATATTTATCTTCCTGTCTGTTGATTTCTTAGACTTTTTAATGCCATCCTCATTAATTTGCCAATATGATTTAAGTTGAAACACTGTATTATATTGTATATTCCAACTTTCTTGCAAGTGTCAGAAAGCAAGGTTATGTGCATGGCCACGTGTTTGCAGGTGCATGTGTTGAAGTAGGAAGTATCCTAGTATGTATTTAGATAAGAAAACTTTGTGCTAGTGTTGACTTCGAAATTATAACACGTACACCTATATACTCTTTGTGTTTACTTTAAATTTTCAAAAATATACAGTACTCTTTATATTTTGTATACCTTTTCATAGGTATCCACTTAAAGCATCTGAGGTACATATATTAACTAACCACTTTCTTGGCCCCAACTACATTGAAAAAATAAGAGTTATACACATGTCTAACGTTGGTAGATTCCTATATACAACTTATAATTTCTTAACCCATATAAGGATAATACCATTGGTCTCCTATTTTACTCTTTTAAATAAATAAAACTGTCACAGGTGTAACAGATCACCCTTTTGAAGCAAACATAAAATGTGCACGAAAGCTTTTATACATCATTTGGTAGTCTATTATGGCTTTAAATACATACTTGGTCCTCAGAGCCAGAATCCTGAGACTGCCTTATAAACAACGTGACTTAAAAATTAATTTATTTTGTCAAATCCAGTTACAAACATTCTTTAAATGGGATATAAAAAGAAAATTATGTTGAATTCTATTTTTTGTTATAATGTAAGTTTTAGTTCAGCTACTTTATTTGGAGTCAGACATATTTAGAGGTAAGTCATTTCCTTTTTTCTTTTTCTAAAATCAGTAGATAAAAGAATAATTTACTTATTTGCAAACAAGGAAAATGAAGAATGATGTTTCTTATGTGTTTCTTTAAGCGTGCTACATGAAAAAAAAAGCCTTAAACTAAACTCTGGTACCCAAGAGTAGTGTAAGGGGCAGAAACATGTATTTTGGCCAGAATTTGCAAACAGCGAACACATAAAATCTACAGTGAGAACCAACAGAAATGTGAATGTTGAGGTACTTGGAATCTCTTAGAAACAATTCTGCTCTCCATTGTCTCTGTATAAAACTGACTATGTTATTAAGATATTAAGTTTATTTAAGCTTTGCCTTTACTACCAAAACGGTTAAGAAATTCTTATGACAAAAGTGTCCAAAGAGCCTTCTCTGCATAATATACTCTAACAATTTATAGAAGTTCACTTCATAATACACCCAGTAAATAATTTCCAAATCCCAGACTGCCTTAACAGGCTCAAGACTGTTGCATGGCAGTGGACAGATTTACGCTTTTCAATGAGGGAGTGTCCAGGAGTTGAACTGAATTAAACTAGAATGTGAGGTTGGAGCAGATGGTAAGTAAGGGCTGTTGATCTACTTTTTTAATTCTTGTTTCTTTCAGGAATATCCTTTTCCATAGGAAACCTATCAAAGAAAAGTAACCTAGACACCAAATGATGTCATTAATATAATATGCATTGCACCTAGAAGGGAGAAAACACTAGGGAGGTGGTAGCCTGTGGCATAAAATGATGGACATGTTAGAAAGATGCTGGTGTGTAATGTTGGAGAGCCTGCCCAAGACCTGTGTGACATACCTGTTCCTCTACATCACTGTGTCCCTGCTAGCTGATGGGGATCAGTGGTTATGACCTTTAACTACAAGTCAGAATGTTGAGGATCTCTTTTACAAAATTAGATTACTAACCTCATCCCATGATTACTAAAGATTTTCCAGTGGTGGAGAGTAAGAATATGGAATATTTAATAAAACAAAACAAAAAGCAAAACATTTGATGATTAGGAAGATGTGGAAGAAGTGGCATTGATACCCAAGTGGCTGGGTGTCACTGGGTAATCGCATTACTTCCCTGGGACTTGCCTTGGTGATCTGTAAATTCAGAGGGTTATCAATCAGTCTCAATAGTTTTAAGCCACGTTTCCTATTACCAACTGATTTAAAAAGTGGGACACATTTAACATCTTATGTTGACTAAAATCATAGAACTTTAGAGCTAAAAAAAAAGCATCTAGTCAAATTCCTTGATTATAAAGATGAAAACACTAAAACAAAGACCATATGAATGTTCTATCTTAGCGTATTTTATAAGTTTATATGAAAAATCTATCAATTGAATGAAAATGACCTTTGAAAAATATTTTTTGATGTGTTGGGATTTTTAACCAGTACTTTTCTATTTTGGATGGGCATTTTCTTCCCAACAACATAACCTTCATTATGGCGTCACTGCTGGATTTCAGGAATTTATAAACATTTTAGAAATATTTAATGAGAAACACTTGTGTTATCAAAGTTTTCTCTAGCAGACTTTTGCAGGGAAAATCTTATGTTATTTCAAGTGAAGATTAATAATACTATGAATTAGAAAGGAATACAGTGCAGCAGAGAAGAATGATTGGGTTTCTGTGTGTGTGTTTGGGCATGGGTGTGCAAGTGCACAACATTTGCACAGGATCTCTATATGGCCTTATGTCAAAGCCAAATGTAAAAATATAAATTATGTTTGCATAATTCACTTGAACAAAAATTATCCATAACTTTCATTTGTTTTTGCATAGACAATGAAGATGACCAGATTATCATGCACAAAACATGATTTTCTTCTACATAGAGGATGTAGCCAGACCCCATGTCATCCCGAGAAAACATCTAGAACTGAGAAAAAAGAGAATCTGAATCCCTACAAAGATTTTAAAAATTATTTTAGGCACATTTGTGACAAAACCACTGTTTAATATCTTCTTCAGTCATTGGAAGCTACCAAATAAAATAGGCATGGAAACACTTGCTATGGCATCTGAAAACAGTGAGAATATTTTTATTTTCCTCCTTTTCTACACTGGTCTTCAGGAAAGCTGAAAGTTTTTATGAAGTCTAAACTCAAAATGTGCACATTTCAACCTGGCTTCATCTAAAATACATTTTTATTTCAATCTTTGCAAGATATTTTGTGTTATAATTAACTCAGTACTTTTACTGAGTTAATTCTTTGAGTTAATAATATCTGGAGTGAAATAGTTAATCTTCAATGAAAGCCAGAGGGCTATTTACAGTATTTTTTAAAAAGGAAATTACATATCGGAGTGAAAGGGGACAATAGTCTCTACATATTAATACTCTCAAAAGGTAGATCACTGGTTCTTATAAGTTCTCCCTAGGAAATTCCAGGAGAGAGAAGCTGAAACCAGGAATGTTACCCATTAAAAAGGAAGCTGGTGGTTGTGGAACCCAGGGAATCAAAGCTAAGTGAATTTAACTCAGCAAAAACAAGCGCTAGACTTTCTCAGGCAAATCAAAGGCCTTGGAAAAGCACAATATCAAGGACTCCAGGGTTCACCGTGCTCAGAACTTAGGCAGGTGGTCATCCTCAAAAAGCTTCTTCATAAAGCAGCTGAGACCAGACACTTGATCCAGGATCCAAGAGAGTAAGAATGAAATGTTCTGGGAAATCAGCAAAAGCAAGATACTAGCTCTAGAAGCCCAGTCCTGGGAACTAGCATGAAAGGAAATTGAGAGATACAGCTAGAGGTAGGGAGGGAAATTTTTATCTGAAATAAAAATGGAGAGGTCTTCACTGGCACACGGGATCATTACTGAAGTTGGGAGCAAAGAAGAGTAGGTTAGCAAGTGAAAGACCCATTTTTAGGCATAGAAGTGAAATCACCACAAAGCTGAAATATGTGGAGGGTCAGTGTAGCTTGAGCTCTCACTGGGATATCTTTAGGAACTAGAATTGATAGGAGGCCATCAGAGGACCTCATTTTGAAGAATTTAAAAAGACAGGCCAAGATGAGGAACTGCAGACTGATACTCTTCAACTTCTGTTGTCAGTTTCTTGTGACTATTGCCAGAATCTTAAATTTTATCTAGATAATGGAATAAATATAATAAACCATCTACACCTTCATATGATAGACCATAAGAGCAAAATTACGCCCTAGACATTGAAAGTGGTATTTTCCCCAATAAAAAATAAAAAATGCTCACGTAATCAAATAGTCTATTTTCCGAATAACCTAGAATATCACACAGAATTGTATGTATGAAGTGGGTAAGCATAAAGAAAACTTAAATTGCATCTAAGAATAAAATAGTGTCAAAGAAAAAGAAATGAAATGTGATTATAACTAAAGGAGATGAGACTTAACTCCTCTGAGCTCTGTCTGCATGAAAAAGAAATGGAATGCCTGGGGTGGAGGAACAGGTACCCCAAGAACAAGAATACCCAGTGTTGATCCATTGTTGTCTAATGGAAAAGAGTAGGAGCTGAGAACATGACATGTCTGGACACAGGAGTGTTCCGTTCTGTCGTGAGAGCCAGAGGTTCCCGCAGACTGCTCTGTGTCACACAGGTGGCCCTCATTCAATCGGCTCACTTTTCCACACTCAGTCAATCTTATGGTCTCAAATTAACTACCTAAGTATTTACAGAGAGTATGAAAACATCTAGATCAGTGTTTCTTCAATGTTTCTGGAACATTCTCTAACAGCTGAGAAAATAAATACTATCCAAAAGTCTTTAATTGTGTCTAAAATTCTTTAAATTTGGGGTTTTTTTGTGGGGGAGGTCTGCCCACAGAGACCCCCATTCACCACGGATGAGAATAAATCTACCAAGACATGATCTGCTTGGGGAGGAAAGGTGGCTGATCTCGTGAAAGAAAAGGACCAAAAGCCTTTCCTCAACAATTTTTATTGGGTTTGTTTACACAGGAATTCAGGTAAAGCTCATTACTCATTGCTGGGAAGTAAGGATCAAATAACGAGAAACTCTGAGGGCCTGTTTTGAGTCAGAGTTAGATAGCTAAAGAGCTGTAAAACTTTGAGGAACAAACTTCTTGTTTGGACCCTTATTCAATTGAGAGCATTCTAAACAAAGCAGGTTTCACAGGATTTTACATATTCTTTCTTAGGCCTGATCACCCAGGGAACCCGCCCTTTCTAGCACAGGGCTGCACCACCCTGTCATTGTTCCAGGCTTAGGTGGAGCAAGAGAAGTAAGGCAACCGAGAGATTAGGACACTTTCTCACAGACAATGAGGATTCAAGCTATGTCAAAGCCGAGGGGCGAGGGTCCATCACCCCTTTTTGCTGTAGCCCCCCAAGTCCTTCCTTAGGGGCCTCCCATGTGATTGTGCCTGTCTTAGATCATTTCCCCCTTGGGGAATCTTACCTGTCATTGGGTAACCGACCAAGCATTGGGGTTCAGTTATGAATGAAGCAGCAGAAGCAGCGCTCCCACCAGAGAGAGAAGCTTTTGTCTCCTTGCTGGCTTATCGTCCAAGGTCGTTCCCTCAGCCTTATCCTTGGTGGGGGTTACAGCTTCTGATACCAGGCAGGGCGGTTCTCAACAAGTTTTAACTTGAAGACTTTTACAGTCCTTAAATATGGATTTTTGTCTTCGTTCACTGATTAAACGTGCTGGCAGATAGTAGGTTCAATAAATATTTGTTGAATAAGTTGGCAAAATTTTTAATGTTTTAATAGAAAAACAAAAGTTCTGTTCTCCTTTATTTAATCACAGCTGGACTAAATGTACTTATTTTATAAAATTGAGCCAACCTTAATTTACATTATACAGTAATTTCTTGTCATAGTGTCACCGTATTTTGAGGATGGGAATCCACTTAAAAATGTGCATGCAGATTGGAATTTTTTTTTACTGTTTTGCAAACTTTATAAGCATAATCCAATCCATAAGGCAAAATGACCAGAACACTTGAAGAAGTTTTGTTAGGCATCTTTTAGTTGAAAAATCAAGTGACTCATGTCATATGAAATGAAACACTGTCTTTTATTGTCTTAAGGGAAAAATAAGTTGAAGAACCCTTTGAAGGAAGAAAAACAAATATGTGGAGTAACTTTTATCACATAATTGAATTAAAAGTTTCCAAAATTTCATTGTCCATGAAGTCAACTCTTCATAATTTTCACACTTTAATTCTGCTGCAGTTTTATCACACCCAGTGAAAGCTTTCACAATTTTGCTTTTATAAAGAATTCAATCATAAATGTTTTTGCTGAATAAGCCAAATTTGAGAACTGTTGATTTTAGGAAAAGCAATGATTTATTGTTTAACCCATTTTTTAGCCATTGTTACAGTATTTTCAACTCTCTATTTTAAAAAAGAGCTATTCCACTAAATTGAAGATCTGTTCTTCATTTTTCTCAGCCTAAGCCAGCACACACATAAGTCAAAGAGCAAGTCTTCACTTTCAACTCCGAATATTTTAAATGTATCTGTAAAGATAAGCATCCACATTATTATTTCTTCTAATTTTCAACAAATCTCAGCATTTCTTTGCAGCCCATTAACACACAACAAAAACGAAGACAAACTGTTTGGGAGGAGGTATGGTTGCTGGGCTGCTCCAGGCTGCCGATTCACATAACTCACAGAAGGACACCTTCCCCGACATCAGCTCTGTAGACCTGTGTCTCTGCATGTACCCATCAGTGAAAGTTTTCATGTTTATTAAAAATACACCTCATGTATTTTAAAAATCACTTACTAATTATCTTACTATAAATTATCTGTATAAAATTAATAAAAGTCAATCAAATTGCTAAATTATTAGTGTTTAAAATGAAGAGCAAAATTATCATTCCTCTCTCAACCAGTCATTCCTGGATATCCTTCTGGTACATTCAAACTGGGGAGCATCATTCACTAAGTGTATCTTTTTCACCTAGCCAGCTTTTTTTTTTTTTAAATCCCAAACATATTTGACCATAACGTCAACAGGGAGCATCACCAAGATTTTTTCTTTGATATGAGGGTACTACTGGCCTCACAGAATAAAGTGTGAAGTATTCTTCTCTTTCTGTTTTGGGTTTTTTTTAAGAGTTCGTAAAGGATCAGTGTTAATTTTTTTTTTAGGTGTTTGGTAGAATTTACTAGAAAAATTATCTGCCCCAAATCTTTCTAGAGTGAAAAAAAAAAATTGCCTTTAGAAATACAATCTTCAAGTGAAATTTATATTCCAAAAATCTGTGTTGAGTTTATAATACAGCATACCACTGCATTTCCATTTCACAAACATGAATATGCTTCATCATTTTTGTAAAACTATATACCTCCAAAAGGAAGGATAATTGTTGAGGTGCCTTTGCAGTCTGAAGACAAAGACAGACTCTCTTTGTAGTAGAAGATTTCTATTGGCTCCTTACCAGTACTTTTGTCAGTCAGGGTTGAAATCAGGAGGACGGGGAAAATGGTGGGAATTTAAACACATAAGAAATTGGCAACACAGGTACTAGAATATTTAGGAGAACAAAATGGTGATGGGCGTACAGGAGCAAGAAGGAGGAAAAAGAAAATACCTAGGGAGGAAGTGTTGCTAACGTTCCTGGCTGGATAGATCACATTTGGTGCTGCACTATTGGAAGCTTTTTCGTGGCTGAACTGGAATGCTAAGAACCATTCCATACAGGAAAATGCTTCCATTTGTAGGGTAGAGTCTGGAATGACCTCACTTCGTTACCACTGCAAAACAATGCTCAGTTTCCATAAGGTAAGAGCTAGGCGCTAGAAGCTTTCCCTGCATCATTCTGATCTGCCAGTAAGTATCAACGGAAGCTACGAAATGCAGTCTGCAGCCTCCCAGCCCTGGCTGGCTACACACAGCAGAGGACTCAAAGGCTAGTGGCAAAACCCAAAACGCTTCTGTAGAACCAAGTCTAGAGTCCAACAGTTGATTTAAAAGGCCTTAAATAACAGGAAAAAGTAATAGAACATTGTTTCTGTTTATTCCAGTATTTTAAAGCAAAATAGGATAACATGTAGTAAGATCATTCACTTAGTTCTCAGTAAGTTAACAAAAGAGATTAATAAGCTTAAATTGGCAGAAATTTCAAACCATGAGAGCATAGAATAAAGAAAGAGGTTTGGTTGTTGCCCACCCCATCCACCCAAATTATACGCAGAATATTAACTTGTTTGTGACACAGAGAAAAACAAGGAATAAGTCTTTCACCACAAAAGTATTCTACTGATCCACCACCCCTCCCCCCAAGAAAAGAAAATAGAAGATTAATAAATCATTCCTGATGATTAATTAGAGTACATTTCATATCTGTGCCATAATCAAGCACTTCTAACCGAGGTTATACTAAATATATGAAGCCAAAAAATATATTTGTTCATCTAATATTTCTTTTTAATTTACACTCATGAGGTATTAAACAAAGCTTCCATAATTATTTAAATTTTAAACCCATTTCAAGAGAGAAAACATTAGAGGCAAAATCAATTGAAATCTTAACTTTTAAAAATATTTACTTTCCTTAACAATTCTGCTTTCTGAAATTTACTTATAAAGAGCTAATGGAAATTTCCAGAATGGAAAAGAAAGATGGCTTTCAGAAGGTTGTCATGAAGTGACTGGATTTTCTGGCTTCAGTCTGAGACTGGGGTCAGAGCCCTTTTAGGTCTCATAAGGTACAACGAAAAGGCAGATCTGGTTCTAAGTTACTCACTGTTACTGTCTTCAGATTCAGACGGTACATGTCCTGCAAGGTGGCACGGGCACACACATTAGCAATGGGAGGCACAAATGAAAGCGGGTGTCCTGGGGAAACTGACAGGCAGGGAAAACAGCAAGGCACGCACCACTCTCTGGCCGGCATAACCCACAGAGACGTGCTGAGCTGGGGACAGAGGGCATGTCATGGAAAGTGCTCTGGATGAAAGATCCCTTTTTCTAGAACTGGATAATGGATACTATTATTTTCCATATTGATAGAGAAAGAGGGGTAGGAAATGGCTACCTGATTTTGACAGGTTAACAAGGAGAGCTCTTCACAGTGTCATGAATAACATAGCCGTGTTGGAGAGGGGGTTTTCCAGAGCTCAGGCACAGTGTCTAACTGGCTACCAAGGAGAGGAGGAAATGAGCTGGCAATGCCAGTCATATCAAGTTATCTCTCCTTATTGTATTAGCGGACTACAGCAGCTAGGGGAAGACAAATTTAGAGGACTTAATAGAAAATATGTACTTACTCTTTTCGCTATAGGAAAAAAATGTTGCTATATTTTATGATGGCAAAAAACGATAAGATCACTAATGTACAATGTTATAGAAGCAAATATGTATAAAAAATTTTAAAGATATGAACAAAATATAATTTAATCTTTTAAATAATGTTTATATTTTGGTGTCCTAATAGAAAAATTAAATTTTTCCTTAAGAACAAGGAAATATTTTTAATCTTCTAAATAAATATCTTTCTGTTTACTTAAATTATATAAGCATGATGAGCTCTATTGTGTATACTCTATAACTTATTTTAAATAATATATTATGAAATTCTGAGTTACTCACCTGACCCTGATTAAATTACCATTACCATCCTTGAGGAAAACTTTCAATAAGTATATTTATGCTGACCATACACGCGAGGGTTGCTAATCTTCACAATTATAAACACAGAATGTCCAGTTAAATTTGAACTTCGGTTAAACAACAATCAATCAGTTCATAACCACTGTACTGGTTTATTCTACTCTGAACCAATTGTTAA